GGTTGCCATTTCTTGCTTCAGAGCCTCTTTCCAATCCAGGGGTGGCAACTGTGTCTCATGCATCTCCTAATTAGCAGGCAGATTCTCTATCACTGTGCTATACTTGATCTCAGGAACCTCTTATTTCTATATTTTTAAAAAGAAATAATGTAAAGATCAAAATGTCAGACTGTGTATGCATAGCAAATATGCTGCTATAACAGACAAAAAATGAAAACTAAAAACAATTTGAGCTATTTAAAAAAAAAAAAGGTATTTTCACAATCCAGTTTTTTTATCTTTGAAAATGACCTGCAAAAAAGAGAGTTGTAACCTGGTGGGTCTAGAATTCATAGTCTTGATTCACTCTAATCTGCTGCACATCTAAATTTTTCCAACACTCGTGCCTCACTTCACTTTATAACATTATCAATTATTACTTGCTGACTGCCAAATTTAAAAGATTTACTATGATCATTATCTTAATAGTCATTTTATAGAATGTGACCCTGTAAATTACTTTTCCTTCTGAAAACTTTCTTCTTCTAGTTGATTTACATGATACCTTTTTTTTTTTAAATTTAAGATAGAGGCTAAGCTTCTGTAATATAGAAATTTAAAAAATGAAAAAAAGAGTGGATCTTTATGTATATGTATATATAGTCAGAAAAGTTCCATGATTAATGAATAACTTTGCTCCATTATGTGCTCATTAGACTTACATTTCTTCTTCTTTACCATCCCACCATTTCCTAGATGTGGCTTTTATCCAAAATGCCAAAACCAATTACCAACCGTATGTTCATGCTCCAGTCTATGGGAAGGTGAAGAGAATGGAGAGCAAAAATTGCCTCAGTAAAATTCTATCTCTAAAGTTCTATCAACAGCAGGTTGAACAATATGTAGATGTAGAGAAAGGACTTATAGACACAGCAGAGGAAAGAGAGGCTAGGAGAAACTGAGAAAGTATCACTGACATATATACATGATTGGGTTTCCCATGTGGTGCTAATGGTAAAGAACCCACTTGCCAATGCAGGAGATGTAAGGGACTCAGGTTCAATCCCTGGGTCAGGAAGATCCCCTGGAGGAGGGCATGGCAATCCACTGCAGTATCTTACCTGCAAAATCTCATGGACAGAGGAGCCTGGGAAGTTACTCCAGGGTCACAAAGAATTGGACATGACTCAAGCGACTTAGCACACACACACACATACACTATCCTGTGTAAAATGGATAACTAGAAGGAAGGAAGCTGCTATATAACACAGGAAGCCTAGCTTAGAGGTCTGTGACTACCTGGAAGGATGGAAATTGGGGAAAGACTCAAGAGGGAAGATATATATATTCTGAGTGTTCATTGAAAGGAACAATGTTGAAGCTGAAACTCCAATTCTTTGGCCATCTGATGAGAAGAGCTGACTCATTTGAAAAGACCCTGATGCTGAGAAAGATTGAGGGCAGGAGGAGAAGGGGATGACAGAGGATGAGATGGTTGGATGGCATCATTGACTAAATGGATATGAGTTTAAGTAAACTCCAAGAGTTGGTGATGAACAAGGAGGCCTGCCGTGCTGCGGTTCATGGGGTCACAGAGTTGTACATGACTGAGCGACTGAACTGAACTGATAATTGTGACTGATTTGGACTGATATATGGCAGAGACAGCCACAAAAATGTAAAGCAATTATCCTCCAATAAAAATAAAATGTAGTCCTATAGCCATATTGTCCTTAAAGAGAGGGTGGAAAATGTAGTGTCTACCAAAGTGACCATGAAATGATCTAAGCTCACAGTTTGCTAGTATAAATAAGATAAGAAGGGTCTGTGGATACTGGGGGAAAAGTAACAGTCTCTAATACATTTTGCATTTTCTACTTAGAATTCTATCATTTGAATTCTTTGGGCATCTTGTTTTTCTCATTTTTCTCTATTCACAAAATAAGTGTTTTTCTCTTGATCCTTACATTTTGCTCAACTTAATTCCAACCCTCTGTAGTGTTTCTACTCCTTGCTTAGTAGATGAAAGACTAAGGGTTACATTTACAGTTTCCTTTACTACTTGATGTATTTAAAATTACAGAGTTGACATCTATGTATGGCATCTGTGAAGTGGAATTAAACTAGCTTATGTGGAGACTATGCCTTGGCTTTTGCTGCTTTTTTCTGAAGCTTCATTTTCCTGTGACAGCTGTGGCAGGGATCTAATACCCGTCTCTAGCTTTGGGGAGTGAGATTTTTGACACCAAGTATGAATAACTGCTCAGCTGTTATGATTCTGCTTATAGTCGATAGTTTTGGAAAACACGTAGCAATCCCTGGGTTATGGCAAAGGCAATTTACTGATGGAGACATGTTTGTAGGCTCTTCTGATTGTCAGTGGAATATAGGAATGGCATTATATAATTTGGCCATAGAAACATCTCTCTGAAACCCAAGGGATATTTTGAGGAATGTCATAATAGCAGTATAACTGGGGGAATTTGTACTAGATTACGTGAACCTCATTCAAGCAGGACCTAAAAATATTCTAAACTTTCAATGTATTTGAGTTTTATCATCAGTAATAGAATACTGGCAAGTTAAAAGGTTCAGTAGGGCAAGAAAGAAACATGAAATGAAAAATAAAAAATTACAAACAGTGAATACATATGGTTTCATGACAAGTTGAATAAATGAGGACTATCAAATTGCTCTGGAAGATTTTCCCCATTCTCTTCCTTTTCTTCCCCATTATATTTCATGTTATCTAGCTAGTTAGCCATAAATATATATGAAATTATTATTTTCCTCTGATATTTTATATGAACATTTTGGTAGTACAACATATGACTCTACCATACCATTCTTTAGTTTCCATATATTCGTTTATGGCAGAAAGTGAAGAGGAATTAAAAAGCCTTTTGATGAAAGAGGAAAAGTTGGCTTAAAGTTCAACATTCAGAAAACTAAGATCCTGGCATCCAGTCCAATCACTTCACGGCAAATAGATGGGGAAACAGTGGAAACAGTGTCAGACTTTATTTTTCTGGGCTCCAAAATCACTGCAGATGGTGATTGCAGCCATGAAATTAAAAGATGCTTACTCCTTGGAAGGAAAATTATACCAATCTGGACAGCGTATTAAAAAGCAGAGACATTACTTTGCCAACAAAGGTCCATCTAGTCAAGGCTATGGTTTTTCCAGTAGTCATATACGGATGTGAGAGTTGGATGGTGAAGAAAGCTGAGCACCGAAGAATTGATGCTTTTGAACTGAGGTGTTGGAGAAGAACCTTGAGAGTCCCTTGAACTGCAAGAAGATCCAATCAGTCCATCTTAAAGGAGATCAGTCCTGGGTGTTTATTAGAAGGACTAATGCTGAAGCTGAAACTCCAGTACTTTGGCCACCTCATGAGAAGAGTTGACTCATTGGAAAAGACTCTGATGCTGGGAGTGGTTGGGGGCAGGAGGAGAAGGGGACAACAGAAGATGAGATGGCTGGATGGCATCACTGACTCGATGACATGAGTTTGAGTAAACTCTGGGAGTTGGTGATGGACAGGGAGGCCTGGTGTGCTGCGATTCATGGGGTCACAAAGAGTTGGACAAGACTGAGCAACTGAACTCAACTGAACTGAAGAGAGGGGAAACAAATATCATTCAAAATGGTTAGTGACTAATCCTTTTTCTATTTAAGGAAAGCAATAAGAACTCCTTCTTTATTAGAAGTATGGCTGCATTTATTGTAGGAAGTATAATTGCATTACCTTAGAAGAGAGAAGAGAGAATACAGCTAGTATTTTATTACAGGTTCAAAGTTTAACTAGAGATGAATTGCACATTTGGGGGCTCTGAGTTGTCAATTATTGTGAGGAAGGTTTTGAAACCCAACTCTTTCCAAAACTTCTGTAGTATGTTTTGTGCTCTGTGTTTGTTCAGTCACTCAGTTGCGTTCCACTCTTTGCAACCCCATGGACTATAGCCCACTAGTTTCCTCTGTCCATGGAATTCTCTAGGTGAGAATACTGGAATGCTATTTCCTCCTCCAGGGGATCTTACCAATCCAGGGATTGAACTCTTGTCTCCAGTGTCTCCTGAATTGGCAGGCAGATTCTTCACCACAGAGCCCACTGGGAAGTATGTTTTCATGTAAGTTTATTTTAAAAATTAAATACAATATTTTCTAGAGTCTTTCAAAACTTTTCTGCCTGTAACATAACTTGTGCCAAATACGTTTATACTTGAGATTTGAAAGGTGAAATGAGCATCATGTGGTGAAACCTGTGTTTCATTTGCCTTTCACTTGAATTAATAGTCCTGATGACATATGTGTGTAAGCGTGGAGTATGGGATTCCCTGGGGCTCACGTGGTGAAGAATCTGCCTATAATGTGGGATGCCCGAGTTCAATCCCTGGGTCAGGAAGATCCCCTTGAAAAGGAAATGGCTTCCGACTCCAGTATTTTTGCCTGGAGAATTCCAAGGACAGAGAAGCCTGATGGGCTGCAGTCCATGGGGTCACAAAGTGTCAGACACAACTGACTAACACAGAGAACAGATTTGATTTTTCAAAGATGCTGAGTACTAGGATACTGGCATCTTATTTTCTGATGTGGATGATTACAGGGACCTAGTTGCCTACCATTTTGGCTGCAGCTTTCTGGGTCCTTAGCTTCCTGGTCATGGCAGATACATGAGTGGACTGGATGAGACTGGATGCGTGTTTTTTGTTTGTTGTTTTGTTTGTGGGGGGTGTGATTCTGAAAGTTCGATGTGGAACCTATCTATTTTGGCATTACAACAACAGTGTGTATCATAACATCTGATTGTCTTAAATCATTTCTGTTTTTACTGGCTAGGATGAAATAAACAAGCTTTCAAATGACAACTAGTGATCTCTACCTTCAGGTAGTCATACTCTTGTCTAACTGTGTTCCCTTGAATATTCATGGGGTTTAAGACTTCAGGAAAAGCTATGGAGCATCACATCCATGGCTGGGTTACACAGGATTTTAACTTCTGCCTTCCCTGCAGACTCACCAAGGGTTCTCTCCTTGTCTTTGATGCACCCTGCTGCACTGTGACTTACCTTATAAATAAGGAAGTGAGAGCAGCGTCTGGCTAACAACCAACAAAAGCAGAGTTTCTCAGTCCTACAATCCATAAAAAGGCCACATTATTTCAAAAATTACATCGGGTTGGAAGCAGATTCCTTCCCCATTAGATGTCTGCGGTAAGACCAAAGGCTCAAATGGCACCTTTGGAGACCCTGGGTGAGAATACTCAGATAAACCATGAAAGGACCAGAGAAACCATGCTGGACCCCTTTCACACAGAAATTGTGAGATGGTAAATATATAAGCTGCCAATGTGTAATAATTTGTTACTTAACAAAAGATAAGCAATGCACACACCTATTTTTCTCTGTTAAAATGCATCATCAATTTTTAAAAAAATGGCATGCCATTACTTTGAATTGACAATTTTGAAATTTATTTATTCACCTCAATTTTTTTTTCCTGGTGCCTGTCATGTAGTCACTGACTCAGAACAATGCTCTACAATCTGCCCTACTCCACTTTTGTAAGATTCTAAAGAGCATTTGTTTTCGTGTATCTGACTAAACATCTGGTAAACACCACGGCTGCTTCTGCTGCTAAGTCGCTTCAGTCGTGTCCGACTCTGTGTGACCCCATAGACGGCAGCCCACCAGGCTCCCCCGTCCCTGGGATTCTCCAGGCAAGAACACTGGAGTGGGTTGCCATTTCCTTCTCCAATGTGTGAAAGTGAAAAGTGAAAGTGAAGTTGCTCAGTTGTGACTCTGTGCGACCCCGTGGACTGTAGACTACCAGGCTCCTCTGTTCATGGGGTTTTCCAGGCAAGAGTACCCCATGGAGATGTCTTTAAACCTTGAAATATGTTTTGATATTAATAAGAATCCTATCAACAAAGGTGTGCTTGAAGGTCAAATGTTTAAAGAATGCCCTGTTGCACATTATTTTGCCTAGGCAGAATTAGTAAAAGATGATAAATGTTAGGGGGAAAAATTAGTTAATTTGCCAGATTTTATGCATAATTTTTTTAAAAAATAGATTATTTCTAAATTATAAGAAAAACATCCAGCAAAACTTACTGTTTCGTAAAAAAATAATACCAAAAGTAATGGATTGTGGAATGTCAAAGTGTTTGAGTTATAAAGTTATTTAATAGGGAACTCGGATCTGAATTATGAGTTACTGCATCTTGCTTCTTAAAGGAACAAATGCTTGAAGATCCAATCCTGATAGGAAACCTTCTGTCTGATAGACATGTTTTTGGATTCATTTGCATTAGCTGCTGATATTTTTATCCTGAGCTGGTAAGTAGCACAGTGAACATGTGCTGGAATATGTTGTCAGAAAAACTGATTTTATTTCATGTACAAGGTGGTTTTTTGTTAATTTCCATTCTGAAACTAAGGAATTAATTTATTTGAATATGTTTTGATTACTTTTTGACAACTGAAAATGCTTGTTTTAAGTTTTTTGGGGAAATTCATCTGGATGTTTGCTTCTACAGCAAAATAATTAAAACTTTCTTTTTCTATATACCTGTCAGTCAGCATTAGCTTTTATAGAGTGATTTAATGTCAATGGTTTCAGTATAATTCAATGGGATCCATGCTTATATTACCTTATTCATAAATGGTATACCTTCAATTTCCCCATCAAGCTTACAAATTTGTTATAGTTTGAATCCATGTTTATTACTTTCCTACATCTCTTTCATAAATTCACAGATATTCATTTAACTACCATATGTTTCTGGATATGTGTTACTTGCTAAATATTAATATACCTACTGCTTCATATAAAATTTGTGAGAGATTTTTCACAAATATTTAAATTTAAATGAAATAAAGTCCAATATTAATAAGCTAAATATGTAACTTAAAATTACTACACCAAAATATGAAGAAGGAAAACAGAAGAAATCAACAAATATAGCTAAGAGCAGAAATAGCTAAAATACAAAATGGACATTTAAAACAGGATATCAATCAAATACAAGTTCCCTATCACCATCTCCACAAAACAAAGCAAAACAGAAAAGAACAAAAATACAGAGACTAGTAGAAAGACTATTGCACATCTGATGAAGAAAGAAAGGTGTCAGCAAAAATACTAGAAAATAAAAATAGAAACATAATTACAGGAAAGCAGAGTTTACAAAGCAAATAAGGAAGTATTATGCTCAGATGTACTACAGTAAAATGTTAGGTGATATTGATTAATTCTTACAAAAAATGTAAGTGAAACTGACTCAAGACAGTAAAGGACATTATAGGATGCTTCTGGAAAAGAAAACTACAGATCAATCTCACTAATGTACAGAACTGTAAAAATTCAAAGAAAGCACAGTATTTGTTTTCTGAAATAAGGAAGCCAATATTATTCAATTCTATTTGCTCACTTGTTTTTTCGATAATATGGTATGATTCACTTCATAAAAAAATAGTCATCTTAAAAATTAAGTTTCTTTGTACAAGTTGCAGATTTTTCCTGTCTGTTGTCAGAGGTTTATTTTTGCCACTTTTGTAATATTCTTGTTGTTAAGTTAGAACATAGCTATAGAACTTTTCACTTTACAAGAGTTATAAATCTGCCACTTTATATAGTTTTATTGATATCTCTGTAATTTTATAGTTTTTCATATTTTCTAGGTATACAATTGCATCTTTAAAAATAAAACACTGTTTCTTGTCATTCAGTGCTAATTATGTCTACTGTGATTTTTGTTCTGTTTATTAGAATCTCATGTTAATATTGTACTTAGGTTTATTATATTTAAGTATATTTAATTTATGTATACTTTATTTAGAGTATTTCCTAGGAAACTAGACAGCATATGAAAAAGCAGAGACATTACTTTGCCAGCAAAGGTCCTTCTAGTCAAGGCTATGGCTTTTCCAGTAGTCATGTATGGATGTGAGAGTTGGACTATAAAGAAAGCTAACGCCAAAGAATTGATGCTTTTGAGCTGTGGTGTTGGAGAAGACTCTTGAGAGTCCCTTGGACTGCAAGGAGATCCAACCAGTCCATTCTAAGGGAAATCAGCTCTGAATATTCACTGGAAGGACTGATGCTGAAGCTGAAGATCCAAAACTTTGGCCACCTGATGTGAAGAACTGACTCATTGGGAAAGACCCTGATTCTGGGAAAAATTGAAGGCAGGAGGAGAAAGAGATGACAGAGAATTAGATGGTTGAATGACATCACCAATTCGACAGATGTGAGTTTGAGTAAACTCTGGGAATTGGTGATGGACAGGTAAGCCTGACGTACTGCAGTCTATGGGGTCGCAAAGAGTCAGGCATGACTGAGAGACTGAACTGAATCAGGAAAGATTCTGTTCATATAAAGTTCATATGAATGTTCATATTCTGATCATACAAAGTGACTTCACTCTATTGTCAACATCATAAAACTTTTTTCCTATAGTTTGATGATGTTATAAATTACACTAAAATATTTTCTGGTTTTGGACTATGCTTGAGCTGTTGGGATAAACATTCCTGATATTTGTGAATTACCCATTTGAAAAATAATTGAGTTCTATTTTTAAGTAACTTACCAATATTTGTATTTTTCCTTCTATGTTTATAAATAAGATAATTTCAAAGCTTTCAAAATTGGGTTTAATGTGTTATGCTTTTAAATGAATAAAATACATTGGGATTTGCATATTCCTCAGCTGTTAACTAAACTTTGTTTACTTTTTTCCTTTCTTTGTCACTTTGACTTTAGACAATTACTAAATTTCTCTGAACTTCAAAAACTGTACACAATTTTGCCTTTTTTCATATAGTGGTACAGTATTTTATTAAAGTATATTTGCTGTACAACATTATATGTTAAAGGTATACAATAGTGGTTCACAATTTTTAACACTTGCAATCAATTTATAGTTATTATAAAATATTGGCTATATTCCCCACATTGTACAATGTATCCTTGTACCTTATTTTATACCTAATAGTTTGTACCTCTTACTCACTTACCCCTACACTGACCCTTCATTCTTCCCTCTCTCCATGGATCACCGTTAGTTGTTCTCTATATCTCTGAGTCTGTTTCTTTTCTGTTAGATTCCTTAAGTTTGTTGTATTTTTTAGATTACACAACTAAGTGATATCATACAATATTTGACTTTATATATCTGGGATTTCACCTACCATAATGCTTGCCAAACCCAGCTTTGCAGTTGCAAATGGCATAATTTCATTCTTTTTAATGGTTGGGTACTATTGCATTGTATGTATTGTGTGTATATATATACATATATATATATATATATATATGCCATATCTTCTTTATCTATTCATCTGCTAATGGACTTTTAGATTGCTTTCATATCCTGACAATTATAAACACTGTTGCTATGAATATTGAAGTGTATGTATCTTTTCAAATTAGTGTTATTTTTCAGATATATATATCCAGAAGTGGAATTACTAAGTCATATGGTAGTTTCAGTCTTTGTTTTTTGTGAAATCTCCTTATTATTTTATATAGTGGCTGAACTAATTTATATTCCCACCAGTAGTGCCTAAGAATTCCCTTTTCCCCATATCTTCTTTAATGTTTTTCATTTGTGGGTTTTTTTTTTCTTGTTGTTGTTGTTGTTTTGATGATAGACATTCTCACAGGTGTGAGGTGATGTTTTATTGTGGTTTTGACTTGCATTTACCTGGTGATTAATGATGTTGAGCAACTTTTCATGTGCCTATCAGCCAGCTGCAGTTTTCCTTCAATAAAATGAGTACTCAGTTCTTCTGCCCAATTTTAAATTGTGATGTTTGTGCTTTTGGTGTTGAGTTGTATGTTGAATACTAATCCCTTATTAGTCATATCATTTGTAAATATTTTCTCCCGTTCAATAAATTGTCTTTTCATTTTCCTTGTTTCATTTGATGTGCAAAATCTTTTACATTTAATTAGGTCCCATTTGTTTATTTTTTCTTTATATTTCATTTATGAGATGGATCCATAAAACATTACCGTGATTTATGTGAAAGCATGTTCTTCATTTTTTCCTCTAGGATTTCCT